AAGGCCTTGCTGAAATCCAGGTATACCACATCCACTGCATCCCCTCCATCTAGCCATCTCGAAACCTTGTCATAGAATTCCACAAGGTTTGTCTGGCAGGACCTTTTACTTGGATAAAGTGGTGCTGTGCAACATCTACTGAAAAAAGGTGAATTTGCTACTCTTGATTTGGCCCTGTCCATATTTAGAAGAGCTCTCTTGTTGAAGATGCATAAATATGAGTAGAATTGTGTGCACAGCAGGTAGGTAGCTGTATGAAATTTTTCTTTTCCCTTGTAAACAATGGCCACATTCATAGTCTGTGCCTTTCATCTCTGTTAGAACCCTTTACAATTTGTTGTATTGCTACCATTGTTGAATGTTAGTTTCAGTCATTCCATGTGGCCCAAAGGCTAGTATATATGAGCATAACTTTCTTATCTCAGCACAGTATTTAATCTTCATTTTTAAGATTTAATAATAAGAGAGTCTAAAATGCATTCAATCATAAGAAAAAGACTCTGGAAAAAATGAATACTCTTCAGAAAGAACGGGTGCCTCAGTTTTAGAGTATCTTGTTAAATGTTTTTAAATGAAAAATCATTTGAGCAGTATCTTCTACTGGCAATTTCCCTCTGTCTCCTTTTAGAAAGTATTGGCCAACCAGGTCAGCCATTATTAAAGTTCAAGTGGCCCAGTGGGAAAAGTAATGGCCTTGTGCTACTATGAATTTTAAATGTTGCCATTTCTGTATATTGCACCATCATCTGTTCTCACACGTCACTAAATTGTATAGAAGTTGTTAGACCAACTCGAGTGTCAAGGTCATAGGAATGATGACTCTTCTCAAGTAGTCTTTATTCCCTGCAGAGTTTTATCATAAAGCTGTCCTTGTACTACACAAGATAAGCATCAGGTTGTCACACACATTTTTCTAGTTTTATTGAACATACATTGGAGAGAGTGAGAATGTATTATGAATTTTGTTTTCTTACAACAGTTTTCATTCTTTTAGCTTATACCTGGAAGATAGAGTGCACTAAATATACAATTAAATAAATTTATCTCATTATTAATCTCTGTAGAAGAATTGCAAAATGATACTGCATATGTATTTTGGCTTTGATATTGACTATATAAAGGGTTCTTTGAGACGTTAAGTGACACTTTTTTGTAATGCTGCCCATTTTTTCTGTGGAAGTGGGGTTTGCTGAGGAATCCATCCCCCCCCCCCCCCCCCGCAGATAGGTTCCCCTGTCAGCCAGGAGCCTGAGAAGTGTCAAAATAACTTGACCAGACTTGGATTCTATGCGTCTTGACTTGAGGATAGGGAGTGCCTTGTGTTGCTCAGGTTTAGACAGTGAAATGTTTCGAGCTTGGCCAACCCTGTGTAGACCTATTTCCGTTATTGTTTAGCTTAGGAGATTGCATACTTTATAGGCTTTGAAGGATTATCTGCTTTTAGAACTAACATGGGAATGTGGCTCATTTGGTTTACCATAATCTCTCAGTGTGTTTTTTTTCATCCCGATCCTTTTGGTTTATCTGCAGTGCTTGGGATTCAGGAACACTGTATTACATGAGTGCTGTTTTCCAACAATACCTGATTCACTGGCTGGAGAACAGGAAACCTCTTGCTGGAGAGCAGAAAACTTGCACTGTTGTTGCCCATATTGCTAGCTTCTTGGATTATTTATTACACTGTATTCTTGATGTTTCAGAAGCAATGGCTTGTTCAGAATGTTGTTGGTCACTAGTTTAACTGGAGAAGGATGAAAACAATATAGTATGCTGGTGTTCACTTAAGCTATATGCAGACATTAGGAAAAAAATCTCTGTTATGGATTGCATGGAGGACCTAGTAGATACAAGAGGTCTTTCTTTTCAGATAAAGCTACAGGAAGGTGGGTTGGATTAGCACGTTTCCCCTCTCCACATGATAACTGTTGTTTTTTTCAACATCTGAAATACTGACTTCTAGACTACTTCTCAGAATGGTTCATTGCCATGGGACTTGAATTCCTCAGTGGCTTGGTCTTAATATGCATCTTCTTTGTGTGTTCTGGAATCCCCAGCATTTTTTATTTGGTGGACACATGTATAATTTTGAGAGAGTGTCTGAGCAATTTCACAGAATGGTTGCCAAGAAAGGGCTTGCCTATTGGTAAAATGGTTGCCATGATCGATGTTAAATCTAGTATACTAAATAGTGATACAGTGTTCAAGAAGCTAAGTTCAAGGTAGAGGTAGGGTTTAATTTCTGAAGCTCAACCCCATTTTTGAATTCACAGTTTTCTGCTTCACCATACATTTCTCTAAAACAAATAAGGCCCAGAAACAAGTAACTAGACCAAGAAACTGAATACAAAATAGAGGAACGTTATGAGCCTTAAATGCAAAATCATGTATTTGCTTAAGGAACAATAAATGATATCTAAGACAGCTGATCATAAGACAGTGTTAGAAGTTTGCCTTCCAGTTTTGGTGTAGCAGTAACCAGTGACATTACTGCATGGATACTTCTTCCAAGCTGAGGTGGAGCTTAGTGGGATTGGTTAGGCCTTCTTACAGGAAGAAAGAAGGAACTGAAAGGGAACAGTGAGTCAATTCTTTGTTGGTCTCTGGCACAGCATTTAAAGAGCTGTGATATTCTATTACAAGGCTGGATTTTTTTTTAATAAAGAGGAATACAAAAATTGAGTTTAAATTTGAAGAAGAGTGGCTTAGGCCTGCCAGCAACAATTAAAATGGCATTATAAAATTAGCTTTGTTATGACTAATAGAATCCCCTCACTGATTAGTACGAAGCATATTAGTTTGTTACTGTGTGTTTTTCCTTGAGGTAGAGCCATTTAGTTCCATTCTTCCATGCAGGTTTCTTATTGCAGTGTTAGTGCTGAATTATTTGTCTAACCTACTGCCCCATCTAAAGTGATTCTTCACCAGCTCCAAGAAAGAACAGTTTGCAGTTACTTCAGCATATTAAGCCTCTGAAGGGTTTGCTCTGCCAGCATATCTGCAGAAGTCCATTAATGTCTGTGCTCAGTCAGAGGCCGATGCAAACAAAATGTATTTCATGCTGTCCCACTTAACAGAGCAATAGTAATATTTTAAAAAGTGTTGATGTGGACTAATTTATTACCAAAAGTGGAAAGGGCCATTCTGGCTGAGGATGATGGGCTTTGTAGTCCAAAACATGAGGTGAAAAAAGCATGAAGAAGCAATCAGAGATGTGATTCCTTAAATGTACGGGGTTGGATCCCTTGGTTGTTTCTGCTAATACAAGTGGGAGAAGGTGACTTTCAGCAATTCCATCTTCCCCTTGCCCTTTCCCAAAATTGATTTGGGAGCAGAGGATGGGTAAAAGGGCAGGCCACAGTATGAATCTTCCCCATGTCCGTGTGTTCAGTTCAGCTAATAGAATCTAGCTGTTTCATATATGTTTCAAGAAGTATTTGCAATAAAATATTGCATTTGGGCAAACAGATACCATTTCTCTAACTTATAAAGCAGTTATCTAAAAACAGTGCCAACACTTGCAAAGCATGCTACATCCAGTGCACAGGCTACCGCAAAGCACAAATAGAATCCTGCATGCAGGCCTTGTAGGGGAGTCAGAAAGAGCTTGCTTGCTTGCTTGCAATGCATGTCCTCGCTGAGAAGTTGCATGTCCAGCCTGGTGGCTGTGTGCAGCCTGCTGTGAAAGGTTTCTACCAATTGCTACGGAGTAATTCCCTCTGTCCTCTACGCGGGCAGGCTAGGCAAAACTAAATCCTTTACTGTGAGAATTTTTCTCAATCTGGGTTAATTTCTATCTCAAAATTCCTTACAAACCCAGGAAATCTTCTGGTTTATTGTTAATAAAATATATTGTTCCAGAATACTTTGCTAAGGTTCCATAGAGAGCCCAAAATGAAATTAGGATAATACGGATAAAAGAATTTAGGATAATAATGTCACTCTTGTCTCTAGTCAGGATTTTTAAACATGAACCCTGAAATAAATTCAATGGTGTATGTGTGATGTTTTCTGAATGTAACAATTTATAATAATAATAATAATAATGGGAAACCACATTTATAAAAGGGAAAATGTTAAATTATTCATTTTACTTTTTGTACTATGCAGTCAATTTACTGAAACAGTAATTTGTATCTAGAAGTAAAATATATCAGAAGCAATTAATTGTATTCAAGATGTGATGGGGAAGATATATACATAGAAGACAAATGAAAACAGTAGCAGTGCAGTACTGATTGCCTTTTCTGAGGGAGGGAAAAATCTTGTCCTGTTTCTAAATGTTAACTATTCAGAGAAAGGAAAAAAATCTCTCTTGGGGGAGAATGTTTTCCAGGTTGCTTCATTGCCAGGTGTTTGACATTGAGTGGAGCTTTAAATGAATGAAGCTTATGGCAGCCTTTGGAAATGACCGACTCCAGGGAATCTCAGCTTCCTGCTGTGAAAGTTTCTATTTTCAAAGCACATCAGTTTTAGTAGGAATGTTACAGTGGTCCCATATGCTGTTTCTGACAGAGAGCTAAGTTTCTTCCCTGAATATGAGACAGCTACTGAAGAGGTTCCCTTGCTGCTAACAAAATGAATTTCAATATGTTGCCAGTGAACAATCAGTATGCTTCCTATGGCTAATGGAATTTAGCTCCATCAACTGTTAATGTAAATCTGCTTTGTTTTCTTTCCCAACTTCAGTGTATGCTACCGGTATCCCATTTTGTGGGTTCCGAAGCTAGAAACAAATTGTCAAAGCAACATGTAAGCTTACTTTGAAACACTTGCTACATTTTCCCCTCTTCCCTTCCTCATAAACTCTTTTTCTCAGTCTTTCCTTGACCTAGCAGTAGGAAGCCTTTGTCTGAGGTGTTCATCTGGAACAACTTTTCCACACTTGTTTTCATGTTCTGTTAGATTACAGGGCAGCAGGCCTACCTTTGAAGCTCCTTTCTCTTTTGTTTCTTTGCAGTGCACTCCAGTAATTAACTTTGTCCTTCTTTTATTTGTTCCAGTCAATCGCAGTCCACTCTGCTGAGCATCTTCTCCCAGGAGTACCAGGTTAGAAGTTTTCTCCTTTGTGAGGGTTGACAGGTGCCTAATTGAATGATGAATGTCCCTTTATTTCTTTGTAATTGAACTGCCAGCTTTCTGATTGGTTTGGAGGATGTTCCCCTTTCCACATCAAGCACCGCCTGAGTCTCAGTGGATGGCTGCCAAGCCTACCCATCCATCTGTCTAATAACATCTAGCCTTTGCTTATTTGGTGGACCTGTAATAAATTATGCTAAACCATTATTATTCTGACAATAATAATTTCCCTGTGTTGCGTGGTTCCATGTGCTAAATGTTTGCTGACTTGCACTGTCAGTGCTGCTTTCCATGGCTGACAGAGATGATGATAAATGACCATTGCCGGAGTGGCAGAAGGCAAGAGAGGCAGAAAATGGAGTCATTTATCATGAGATGACAGGTGTCAGTCAAGTGGCAAGTCTCAATGGAATTACTTTTTGTAGTTTTCAAATAAGTTGTTTTTAAGCAATGTTCTTCCTGGTTAAAAATGCCAATTGAATTGTAAAACTAGAGTGCAGAGGACTTGGATGGAATTGATTTGAAGGGAAATTAATATAAAGGTTGAAAGAGAGAACAAGTTTTTCTCTGCCCTCTGTAACCCTCAGCAAACTTATTTAGATTCAATTACTATGACCTTACTGCCTTTTACATATATGCTGTTTTACAGTACAGTCAGAACATGCTTCAATCTATACATAAATGAAAAAATAATTTCTGGGTATTAGTATAGGATTTCAGGGTTTTCTTGAGCATTCGTAATTTCTGGTTGGATTTTTCTTTGGCATATTTTAAAGCTCTGTTGTTGTTTTTCAGAAACTCATCAAAAGAACACATGCCAAACATCATAGTCCAGAGGCAACTGAAGCTTATTATCAAAGGTATGAATTTCCCAGCTTGCTAGAGGAGTACCTGCTTATGTATAATCCAAATAATCTTTTGCAATGTAATTTTATTATGTTTTGTTATATACACACACACACACACAGACACACACACACAGAGGTGGGGGGAGGGAATATACAAGCTGACCATCCATAGGTCTGAAGACTGTAGCTTGAGTTCTACTTGAAAGTTTTCCAAGAGAAAATATTACTAGTCCCAGTCCAGTCCAGAACTGTGTATGCTGAAGACCCACTAAATTCAGTGGGCCTTAAATACATGTGCTGGATTTTGGCCTCAGTCTACAGCAATACTACTCATTTCATATTCTAAGTGTGCACTTGAAAGATTCCCTGCTGGCCTTAGTTTCATGAATGATAGTGGCAGTTCTTATATATTAACCATGCTGAATGTGCCTATGTTATAAGAAACATTTATAATAGTAGCTACACTGTTATTAAATAAAAAATGACATCTAAATATAGGGGTTTACAATTTAATTTGTACATTTGGGGCTCTGCCTATTTTAGAAACAATAGTGTCAAAACCTCCTTTTAAAGAAGGCATAATCCTTTATTGTGTCATTTCATAAAACTATTACATGATTATGTGCACCTGGAGTTAATAAATTGTAATTGAAACTTGTTACAGGTTATCAGTAGCTATATTGACATAGACATCTCAGCAACATAATTGGGATGTATTGATATCTAGAAGAGATGTGCAATTAAAATTTTACTATATAGATTGGCATCTGAAGAGACTGCATGGCAAGTGAGATTGTACCTGTGATTATAGATATCTGATATTATGGTCTAACAGTATCCTAATAAAATAAACAAAAACATTTTAGACTTGGGGGAAAGCTGACTATATGGTGTACTTAAATGCCTGTTACAGAATATCTGTGGGCCAATATGCAACATCCACTGTACTTTATTCCATGAACAATCTGTTACAAAATATTAACGTCGCCATAGTGTTTGTAATCTGTTCTTTCTTTTTCCTGTTTTCTTGTTTCCAAATTAAGAAAGAGATATTACATGCTATAGTTGAATAACCAGAATGAATAAACAGAACTATGTTCATAGATATGCAGGTATATGTAAAATGCAGCAACTGGCTTACCACAAAAGCTGGATAATATGGCATATAATGCATTAATCAAATGTGCACTGGTGCATTTGTATTATTTAAAATTTGCATACTGTGATACATTTAAGTAATGCTGATTATACTTAATCTAACTACTGTGGTACAAGAAAACTGAGAATGTTTGTTTTTGAACATATTATTACACATTAGTGAAGGAATACAAGTAACTTTTATAACTGTTGTAGATTGTCTCTATCCCTCTCTTTTGCTAATAGAAACATTAAATTATAACTAAAAACCTGCGGATTCTAATCTCCTTATTACCAAACTTCTCCATTTTGTTTAGGCAATGACTCAATATGGCATATTGGTACACTTGGCACATAATTTCTAATAAATGTCTTCCAACTGTGTAAAAGTAGATTTAAGATGTTTGTATCCACTGTGTGAAATTATATTAAATTAAGACATGTGCACCTTGTGATCTATCTTATGTCCATAAATCAAGCATGTATGCATGTATATGCACAGATATCTTCTCCCTAGAATTTTGAAGATGGTTTTTATGTCACTGTTTTTAATGTGATCATTGTCTTCTCTAAACCAAACAAGATATTTGAGGAATAGTATGAAGCCTATCTGAAATTTTAAAGATTATCTTTGCTTACATGAATTTCAGTTTGACTTTCTTATGTAGCTCTGTGTTACAACCCTCATGTTTATAGTCCTTTTATAGTCCTGTTGTGGATCACCAAGTTGCATATGCAATATTAGCCTTTTCCAATTGACAGACAAATGAACCCAAGCTACAGTTTTGGATAGCAACCCTATACTGTATTTTCCATGTACATTTAATATAGGAATAACAGCTACAGTTTCAACTATGGTTAGAAGCCTTAACCCTAAAGGTACACAATTACCCAGTGGTGGTATATATAAGGCAAAACCAGTAAGATAGCTTGTCATCTTGAAAGCAGAGAGGTCTAAAGGGAGGGTTTTGTTTATTGTGCCTATAGTCCATAAACATAGTTTAAGGTAAAAGAAATGGTTTAAACTTTGGATAGCATGATGCTGGGTCTATCCTCCTCCTTAATAGTAAACTTTAGAACATGATCTGGTAGATCACTAGTTATGTCTGTCACATCATTGTTTAATGGCCTTGTGTCTGCAGTAGTTTGGTGGTGGTTGTTTTAATTCTCATAATTTCTAACTTAGTTTCTATGACAGAATAGAAAATTTCCCAGCAATCTTGATTCACCTAGGCTGTAGTCCTCTGCACCGTTACTCAAGAGTAAGCTACACTCTATAGTAGGCCTCACTTCCTCTTTTCATACAAATTAGAAATAAGATGTTAATATTTTCACTAAATTCATAATCTCCCTATATATAGCAATCTATATATACTGCCCTCATGTATTTATTTATTTAGGTCCTGTGTAAGTGGTTTATGTAAAATTAAGCTCAGGTATTATTCACAATTGAAGTTCAGGATCTTCATTCATTTGGTCTCAGGGAAGTGTGATTCTCAAGCTGCAACAAAGAAAAGATGAAGATATCTCTTCTTCTTTGATTAATTATGTAAATTCCAGAGGAAAGGTGCTTCAGTCACATATTGACCTGTGTATTGCAAGTGGTCAGGGTTGGTATGAATGTGGTGTGTGAACTGAGAATAACAGGTCAGTTAAGTTCAAAGTAAAATGCATAACATAATGGAACTATTTTTGGTCCCCAGTGAATTTAATGATAATTATTTCCAGCAACGGAACAATTAGCTGTATAATTACCCATTTGACTGTGCAGATTCTTAATCTTCTCAGCCAGCCACATTTCTAAGTGCTGTGTGCTACACATACATGGGAGGGAGGGATCTAGGAACATGTAAGATTGGCTTCACAGTGAGGGAAAGTGTATTACTTGATGTTAGCACTGCCGGATGTACTTCCTTTTATATTTTGTTTACATTTCCACACTTTCAACTCATAGAGAACCATTTGGATGGTTGACAACTTAAATGTCTGTGTAATTTAGTATTATAACATTAAATTTAAAATCTAGTGATATCAACTGTACTACACCCCATCTTGTTATCACAGGCCTGCCATCCTCCTCTTCCTAATTATTTTATATTATTTAATAAAACAAAATGTTTTGCTGTACTTATTGGAATGGATAACACTGTTTAGCACAAGGATTGGAAACATCCAGACTGACAGGCAAATTTTGTCATCATAGGTTGTTCACCCCTTCCTTTCCAGTCTTCCAGCCAGTGGCAACACTGACTAGTTTCCTCCCTCCCATGATTGTGAGGTATTTTGGTGCTTTCTGTAGTTTTTTTCCCCTCATCTTTTCCCTCCCTGTTTCCAGAAAGGGATAGTCTTTCTGAAGCATCAAGCAGCACATTGGGGCAGCTGTCACTGGTTGGCCAGCATGTCTTCAAAATATTATTTACATTCCCAATATGCACAATTGTTGTATGTGTTTTTCCACTTATTTGGACTGGCTCAATGCGGAGATACACACTTTTTCAGGTCCAAATTAGACAACTCACCTAGGCAATGTCCTGAGGAGTACCTCTTGTCAGGATGCAGCAGGTTCCACCCTGGACACTGACCCAGAGAGAACCCCAAAGTTTGGTCTGTTTCAGTTTGCCTTCCCCTGTCAGATGTCAAAAGGTAAAACAACCCATACCACATGCTAGCCACATATTTTCAGCGGCTTGTATGAAATACAAAACAAACCATATAGCTGAAGTGACCTGGATTTGGATGACATAACAAAGTAGCATGGCTTCTTACCCATGATGGGTTGTCCTATTTTCTGAATCCAATTAACGTATTAACAAACTTTAGTGAAATTAGTTAGTTAGCATTCACTTGCAATATTGACAATTCCAGGCTAATCTTATGAATGCATGAAAAATCAGAGGTAAAAGTATTAATCAAATGTGATTATTAGCATTTAGGTGCTTATGCTGTGAAATACCAGGAAAGATATATCCACTTTCAGTCATTCCCAAAATTTGTTTAGATTTGTCAGAATTCATTGTAACTTATTTTGTATCTGAAAACTGTAATTTATTATTATGGTTTTCTACCTGGCTGTAAAAAATAATCAGGTATAATTAAACACAGATGTCCATTTTATAAAATGCAACATTGTGTGGGCTCAAGGACTTGAAGAAAACCTTGCGAAGTAGAAGTGTCTTCCTCTCTGAGAATACTAATATATAGTGGTATTTATTTATTATTTATTTAAAACTTTTGTATGCCATTCCTTGGCATCTCAGGACGGCTCACAATACATAAAATTAAAATACAGTAATAGCATGCATCCATGTTACATCCACATTTTAAGTTTATGACCTAATTTTTAATTTAGGACTCGTACTGTTTCACAAGGTATGACTGCACTGAGGTTATTCTAGGGCAGCTACTGTTTGGGAAAGGTACAGGTTACTTTCCATTCCTTTCTTAGATCATCACACCAAATGGTTGATGTATTCTTTGCTTACTAAAGAGCAGGATAGTAAGCAATCCAAGTTTTCCTGTAGGAGTACCTGACTTAGACTGTGCCAGAACACCTCTCATACCCTTTTCCATAAATTCTGCAGCAGAGCTTTTATGTGTCCACAGAAGAATTTTAAATCAAACTGACTTACTTACCTATACTTCAGCTACATTCCCTAGCATCGAGGGCTGTTCAACACACTGGCTTCACCTACTGTTACAATGTGTTGTTACTTTTATAGTGAGAAGTCCAAACTGGTAGGCTGACCTAGTGGTGTCATTTTTAAAAAGGAGAATTGTTCTCCTTCCCACTAACTAATCTGGATACCACAATTACTCCTCTACTGTCTTCCATGTTTGTTGGAGATTAGTGTGTCCAAAATATAATCATGAAAGATAAAATATTCTAGTTGGTATAAGTAGTAAGAGGGAGTAAAAAGAATCTATCTAATTTTTTGGTGTCTGATAGTTCTGTCTGCAGTGTGTAATCTGAAAATGTAGATTTTGTGTCAACTATTCCATACCTATTGTCCACCAACTATGTCTTTGTTGACATTTCTAATAAATGCACTAAATCCTGCATGCAGCACCCATAAGCAGCAAAGTTCCCATAGATGGATATACAACTTTTATATCCTCGTTATTTTTTCAAGGTTTTTAAAAGCATGTATATGAATTTGTAAAAAATACAATCAACTTTCTAGCAGTCATGCATAGGCTTCAATAAAAGTGGTCCAAATGTTTAAATAGGTATCTCTTAGAATGTGGTGTCTTTATTCTACCCACATTGAAGGTTCTGAAAGGTCCTCAGTAGCATTATAAGAGGTGTGAGTGCTTATCCTTCCACTGTTGATATTGTATATCAATCTTCTAGTAGTCAAAAGAGCACAGACCATCCATTTCACCTTCCATATGTTAATTTCCTGCTTCATGGGAATTAACAAATGAATTAAAAGAGCACATATGTCAATAAATATTAAAGAATGTTCTAATGCAAAATGTATTTGTATAATAATCTCCTATCAAAAAGGGTACTACGGAACAGTGCCAAAACTTGTTTAAGAGAAATATTGGCTGTATTTAGAGATGCGTGACACTGGAAACTTGTTCTGTTTGAGCTCAATGGACTTTCCTCTAATTTGCAGCGCAGTGGCTAAAACTGTTGGGAATAAACTAGATCAACAGTTCCCAGACTTTTTTGGTCATGGAACCTTTCTGAAGGCATTTTTTTCCTAACTCAATTCCTTATTTTTACTAAGCATTGTGAACCCACAACGTTCTTCCTTCTTTCATTTGCTCCTATTGCCTGAGTGCTCTGTGTAATATAGTTGGTTTGGAAATAAAGAGAAAACATTTTAAATATAATGAATGAATAATATCCCAGATGAATTCTTTTGCTTATTCTCAACACTATGCAATAGAGCACTAGAAACCAAATTACATGATGCATTTCTTTGTTTGCAGCTTGGATGCCAACTGATAATCCAGTTTCTTTTTCAAATCTGTTTTAAATTTGATTTTGAGATTTTTTGCAGAACCCCTACAAGACTTTTGTGGAACCCTAGGGTTCCACATAGTTTGGGAACCACTGGACTAGACAGTTATTCTTGGTGCACTTTCCAAGGTCAGGGTTGCACTGATAAGGACTGTGCAGACTAGGAGATGATGGGGAGAACTGAAGGGGCAGGGGAAGGTGAGGCTGGCTCAAGGCTGCTGCGCTCAGCTTCTTACATAGACCATGAGGGCAGACAGGGCTTGGAAGAGAAGGAAGGGGACAATGGAGGAAGATGAGCCTATGGCCCGTCTGGTTCCTGACCGCATTACACCATGTCAGGTTAGAAGAGCTATTCAGTTAGAGGGCTTGTATAGGTCTCAGAAGCTAGCCCTTCTCCAGGGGGACCCACCTATCGGTTGACTCCCAACATTACTGAAAAGGAGGATTGTCAGAAGTAGCTTCCACTCTGGGTTCAACTAATTGCTTTGTTCGTGCATAGCAACTTGTCTTTCATTTGCTGTAACTTGTTAGCTATGAAATGGCAGTAAAGATCTATTTTGCAAAGAGACGTCTGTTGTTTTGGAAACCTGAAGTGAATACAGAAAAATCTAGTTCAAGAAAAAAGTGGGCTGCATCTAATTTTGTTTTCAACTTCTGAAAAATTGCTCAAAATATTTATGCAGATTTGGAGCAAAGAACAGCATGCATCTATCTGAATTTGAACCTATGGTGTAAATTGCACAAATTGTATAAATTGTTCAGACTGAAGGCACCTCATTACATTTGAGTTGTTCTTGTTGTTTCATTTAACATAAAAGCATCCTCCTTTCATTGCATAGGCACATGCTCCAGTTTGGCCACCCTGTAATTTCTGACAGTTAAATTCCAGATCTCTGCAAAATTTAGTCCTCTGCTCTGCAATTTTATCCAATTATGCAGTCTGCACGAATTACAGAGCAAAAGCCTGATTTTTTTTGTTTTGCAAAATTTTCCTACTTTTTCCAATGTGCAAAGTCATGCCCTTTAAAGAAAAATAGAAGTCCATATGCTGGATCAACTCATGTCAGGTTGCATTGGTGCAAGGATGTTGCAATGGAACTTACAAAACCAAGATGAGAAAATTCCATTGGATTTTTACCTCCTATCAGATTTGTCACACATCCCTAGCTGTATTGCATCACCAGCAATTAGCTGAATTAGACAACCCCTTATTAAAGAGATGCTGCATATCTAATCAAATTGAAACAAAGGGTTTAGCTAAATAAGATGTAGCCTAAATAAAATCCAAAGACATGACAGGTAGATACCAAAGCAGCCAGCTACTGATCAGAAACTTTGTTGTGGGTCCAAAAAAATTGGAGGGGGGGCTGCCTTAACTACTCAACCATTCTTTAATAGCATTGAACCAGACAATTGAACGTACTCTTTTTAGCCAGTGAAATGCTTACTGGCTAAATCTTTGGTCAGATGCAAGCGGAATGTCATATTCAATAGTGGCTCTTCTAGGAGCCTATGGAAAATCAGCATTTGAGTCACCCATCATCATTTAGTATTTTATTTATGTAATAAATATAATTGATAATAGCAAATTCTGGAGCATGGAAAGAAGTTGAGTCCTACAAGACCCTATCAAAGCAATGCTGGCTTTGACAGAAGTCTGAGCACAGTTATAAACATCTAGGTGGGCTTTCAGAGTTTTTAAGGCCCAACTTCTTAGAGGAAATTAGTGAGCGATTTAAGAGGTAGACCCCAGCTTGCATTCTTGCATCACAGCGTGGTACCCCAGTGTACCCTTTTGTCTTCTTTTCTGGGTGTTCAGACGCAGTGGTAACAGTAGAGCTATGGATTCTGTTTCAGTCAGGCAGTGGAAATCTGGATTCTTGTTCATTGTTGGTGTATTCTGAAGCCTGGCCATAGTGGTTAATGTGCTCTTACTTGAACTGGCCCTCAGGCTCTCTTTGAGTTTTCAGGAATCTCAAGCAAAACTCCTGACTGTTCCAGCTTGGGAACTCTACTCACCAATGTTCTAGTGCAGACAAACTGGAACATTTATTTTTGATGGTGTAGCTAGATGTGTAATATCCAAAGAGCTTCCATACTAATTATTTTTCACACACACCCTGCCATCATCAAATATTGGGCACAGAATCCAGCTACTAAAAAAAGTAATCCTGTTCTATGTATCTGTCAATGAACCAGCTGTAATTATGTACAACCTAATGTCAGCACTTTCCTTGTAGAATTTTAATGATGATATAACATAAATACATCTAATCGGCTCATGAGGAAGAAGCAGTGGGACACTTTGCTGATCATGACTGTTTTGTGAATATTTATATTTTGAGGTAATCCATATGTTCTTTGGTCAGTTTCTTTCTGGCCTGAGTGAGGGCAAGATGGCAACTCCAGTGCTGGCTGTTTCTTTGAATCTTCAACAGCATTTTTTTTCTTTTTGCTTTGTCTAGGTACCTGAATAGAGTGCTAAAAAATGCAACTTCTCCTGTATTACTGGAAATGGCCAATGAGGTAACCATTAACAAAGATAGCTGTTTATGTTTACCATAGTAGCTTTTATTTAGAAGCACAATTGAACAAATGTAATTGAACAAAAGCTAATGTGATTTCAAAGAACATAGTATATGTTTAAAATAGGCAGTACTTAGAGTAATTAGATGAAACATATTTAATAGCTAATCGGTTAGTTCAAGTAATATTTTTACTTGTAAGCAAATGCATAAAGTTTCTTGATTTTTTTTGAATTTTTTTCCTCCTATTTTCTGAAAAGGTAGTCTTGTACTCATTTACTTGGGAGTAGATCTCATTGAACTCAATGGGATTTATCTATGAGTTGACAGTCTTAGTATTGTACTATCAGGTATTTAATTAGTGCTTAGTTTTGTTTTCATAAAGATATACTTTTTGTAAAATTCCACAAAAGCAATCAAACCAATTGTCTTTTAACTTTCCTTTTACTATAAATAAGTATAAGCAAGAGTAAGTTTACTATTAATTTCACTGTTTTTCCTGTACATCAGAGTTCAAAAAACTAATAATAGGACATTTACCTTTGTGTTAGAATTACTCATATCTGATGGTACAAGAAAAAATTCCTGTAGTTCAGTGGTGACAGACTTGTATGCAGTGAAGGTGAAAAAAAGGATAGGCCTATACTTATCAATTAGCCAGGTCATCACCTGTGTTGCCCATACCTCATCCAATGGACATTCATTCGCTACATTTACATTCTGCTTCACATCTAATAGATTCTGGAGCAGGTTGTGGAAGGCTGGACTGGGACTGTGTTTGCTGAAATGGCCAGACTGGAAACTACCACTGTACTACTGTAGTATATTTAAAGAGAAGGTTTCTAGAAACATTTGTGCTATTGCAGGCACAAAAGTTTACAATTCTGGCAGATGGCTCCCTTTGAGTATCCTTATCAATGCAATTCTATACAGGTCTGCTCAAAAGTGAGTCCCATGAAGCTCAGTAGGCTTATTCCTGAGAAAGTTTGTTTAGGATTATGCTTTTATATGTTTATGAAAAGTAGTACAAGTATCTGGTTTGATTTTGAAATTCTTATGCAAGCCTCAAAAGAATATGATAAAATCCATGCTTTTGTGTTGCTTTTAAGTGCTAAAAATAGCCATAAGGCATGAAAGGAATCTTTGCATTAAAAAGGAATATAAATGGAACAGCAGTAGTAAGTCCTACATAAGGAAGGAAGTATGAATTTTTTGTAAGCTTCTGTCTGTTTTACATTGTTATAGTCAGCAAATGAGCAATTACCTATCAGTTACTGGATGGTTTTAATGGTCTATAAAGTGTCTATACATTGTAATAATAGAGTTAACATATGAAAGTGATTGCTTTCTGTTTGTGCCCAAGGATGCCTTTTGTAGTTCCTTTTGGAAGATTTTAAGTCTACAATATTGTCTTTATTTTAAACAAAGAAATTGTGTTACAGATTAGATTGTTAGTAAATAACATGCATTGTATGGATTTGTCATACAATCAGTGCAAAGGCATGCAGCATTTGTACTCTTGTTTGCATATCCTTTTGTTTGCATGCTTTTCTTCATGCATTTCCCATAGCATTATAGATAATGCACATAATTTCTGATACTTAAAGCATCATTTTATTCATATATTGCACTGGCACATCTGAGCAATTCATGATGCTAGCCTTTGTTTTTGTGTTAAGTTTAGAGATAAATATGAATACTTTTTTACTTTTTACTTTTTCTTTAACTGTTGTTTTAAATAACTTTATTTATTGGGAGCAGCAATACAGTAGCTGGTAATATGAAAGGTAATGTTTTTTGTGACTGCTTCTGATGCATTAGGGAAATGTGGCTGTAACAAGCATGAGATTGCTGCCTTCCTACAATCAAGCTGCCATTTTTATATGATAGTTAATATTTAAATGGCGTTCTCCTGCATCTGCTGACAATTGGTGTAATGGTAATACTTTATGAGTCAATATATATTTAATCAGTGGAAACTGTAAAAATTGATGAGAAATATATAACATAGATGCATTACAGTATGCAGCATCTCTTTTAAATAAAAATAGGCCATTGTTGTTTTATTTTTTATGTTTCTGTGAAGTTATTTTAAAATTCCAGACATTGAATGTGCCACTTTTTATATCTAAAATATAATTAAAAATAAGTATCAAAACTAATATTTGTTAAAAATAATAAAATTAGTCACTCTTTTCTCACCAGGCAAATATTTTCTAGAGGGATTTGAAGCCCTATGAATTTTACTTACATGCTAAATTCTGACATGAAGCATGATGGCCCTATTTCAGAGAAAGATGGGTGCATGATTAATATGAAAATTAGGGAGATGCAAGTACCTGAACTAATAAGGTAGTCCTTATTCAGGCTGGACTACCTTCAGTAATTTCACCATTTTTCATGTGTCAGCTCTGATGTGGGTTACTGGAAATAAGCAGTTCTGTAGAAAGCCTTTCTTTTTACTTGAGGGAATTTAAGTGCATCCAAGTACATATATATTTGGAGAAATATATGTACAAATGGAAACAACTTTTTGTGTTGTTTTTAAATCAAAATTTATATGAATATGTACACAAATATGTCAAGACAAATAACATTACCATAATGTAAGTGGGAGCTTTACTTTTCTATTGTGAAATAAATATTCAGTAGAGTATTACTGTAATTTGCAAGTTAAAATAATGTTGGTATATTTCATATTTTAAGTATGCACAAGCCCTTAATATGGAGTCTCAATATCTCAAGAAAGACTCCCTTATTTTCAATATATTCAACACATACTGATAGTACTTAAATGGTGTCCATGATATATTACAATTGAGATTTTCATTTGTACATTGTTAAACAACAGCACCAATGGTTTAAACAAATAATCCAAAATATAATACATAGGAGTTCCCTTCAATGTAGCTTAGATTTGGCTGTTTATTCTTAATATTTTAAAAATGCTGTTATCCTCTAGCAATCTTCAAAATTAAACAAAACAGGACCCTGCAGACATTTGCACAAAGTTGGTTTTCATAAATTTCATAAATTTCATAAATTGACTTCAAAGGAATTCAAATTATATATATGTTCAGAGCTTAGGTTTATTTCATCTAGTTTAACATGCAAAATATTAAGCTTGGACTTTTGATTTAGGTGGGAAAAACACTTCATTCTCAAGTAATTTTTTAATTATCCGTCACATGTGGTTGTAGTCCCTCTAGGATTCTTTTTGCATCTAACATGCTTTAATAGAATAAGATTTTTGTCAATAAGTGAAGGCACTTAATTTTTCATTAGTAAATATTCTTACTGGTTGGATGCTTTTGTTTATACGTTAGTTTCACACAATGTACATTGAATTGTGTGCTTCACATTGAGACCAGTGCTATTCACATTCCCAGTATATTGTATATTCTAATAGATAATTCCAGGTGCTGAGTCAAAACAGAGCTAAGGAGGAGAAAAAAGGCTTTATTGTGCTTGGGTGAACCCCAAGCATTGCAAAAGCAGAAAAGTCTTCATAGAAAAAGACTAAAAGCGCAGCCCCTTCCATTCCCAAAACTACCCTATAAGTACTGGGCTTGCTCAGTGCCATGCTGAGGGGGTCTGAAAAATAGAGAGTGGGATAAAATGGAGAATCCTAAAAGAAGGCATGGGTAACTGGTTGGCAAACAGTATGGGAGCATTCCATACTGCAACATAGTAGATCCCTTTGTAATGGCCCAACATTGAATATTGCTATTGGCATTCATTTATTGATATATCCAAACACTGAAAGATTACAAGATAGGAGAGTTGAAGTGAGTCTTTTGAAAAGAAAATATTTTAGTTGGAGCACAAACGAATGTATTCCATCCTGTACATAGGCCAAAACACTTATAAATTGAATTATACCACAATTAGTATCATAAGGAAGGTATATGTATGCTCCTGATTTGAAAACTGAGATAACCAAAAGACAATCTGCCTCTCCTCTTTTTAATATAAGGAGACATATAGTGAAATCATGTTTAAAAGCAAGTTGGTGTTACTATTTATCTTTCTGTAAGGTGGATTTTGCCCCATCATTGATGGCTCGGATAGTGTTGGAAAGATTTCTGCAAGACCAAGATGGATCAACTCGTAAGTAATTTTATAAAATTAGCTGCATTTTATAAAGTTAATATAGAATTACAGCGAAACTAAAGAAAGGCAGCTGTTAAAGACTAGTATCTTGACACTTAAAACAACAGTCTTGCAGCACTTCAAATATTAACAAATTTATTATGTAGAAGCTTTCCTTCATACATGAAGGATAAATTTGCTGCTAATACAAATGCAAAATTTTTTTTGGCTGGGAAGTGTATCCATTTTTTTTCTTTCCAAATTTTGTCCTATGCTGGTAAGTGTTGGCATAAGACACACAATGTGTGAAGGATCCTCAGAGATACACAAAGTATGGAAGACCTCAAGTACACTGCTTGGTGTCATGTATGAAAATGGTTCTAACTGAGATTATGCACAGTTTTGCATGTTTCATGTTGCCTGTAAAAGGCGCTATCAAACTTTCCTCTCTCATACCTTTAAGGCAAAATAGTATGTACAGAATCCAACCAGTGCTGAGCACTGCCAACTCTAATTGATGTCAGCAGGAGAAGTAAACATATGTTTAACTCTTTCCATTTAAACTAGCAAGACTTCAGAGTGCTTAACTTTATCTGGATCATGCCATAAATAATTATAGCAAAAATTATTCTTGAAAAGATGCCTATGCTACTTAAAAAATCTGCAGCCTTAGAGTAATGCAGCTGCTAAATGTAAAAGTGAATTTAACTGAGCTCAGTACTAGAGGGAAAAAATGAAAAGAATAGAGCTTCAGGAGGAGGTTCAAGCCTAAATTAATTTGCCACTGAAAAAATACATTTTGTTATTTTCTCTGTGTCAACTGCATGATTAAAACCGGCTGTTAAGTGAGCTCTGGGGATGTGCTCGTAAAAGATTTATGAGTAATATTCAATGTGATATTCAAAGTGAGTCATGAATATCAGGGTAATTGCTCTCAGTGTTGGCTCCTTTACTAGGCAGGAGTTTGTCAACTGCCCCATAAATATTTGCCTAGTCTCATGTAAAAAAGACAATTTCATCTTCTGCATTTTTATTACCTACTGTAATGTTTACCTTTGGAACTTGACTATGGGGGATAGGTAAAAGGCTTTAGAATATACTTTACACATATATATTTTTCTGTTTCTGAAGGTAAAAGATAATGCCTACTAAAAATATCATCCAATAGCAGATTTCAGAGAGGGCTGTCTCTCTCTCTCTCTCTCTCATCCTTTGACAGGGATTTTTCCATAGGTTTTCTTTTGAAGCTGCACAGATATCCATGACTGGTGGCCCAGTTACCTCATGAAGGTTTCATTTGAATGAATTAAGTACTTCCTCTAAAAATTCAATATCATTTCAATAGATGTAGCCTCTAAAGTAACCTGCAGTGATGCTTCATGAGCAAATCACATGATGTCAGAATGGTATGGTTTCGATTTAATCAAGAAAAAGATTAAAGTGGATGTGTGTTATTTTCAACTTCGCCGCAGCACCGCCATTTGTCAAAGTCAACCTTCTGATTGCTTTGGACCTACTGCTATCCAGGTCTTGTCAAAATAGTAGTCAGCACAATCTGAAGCAGGTAGTCTAGCCTCTATAGTACAATATCAAACACAGTAAAGCAGAATTCATTGGCTTATGAATTACAAAGTTAATAGATTGATCATAAATTTTGTGGCTATTTATTTTTATAATACTGGCATACCTTCAGCACATTTTCTTTTAATTTTTCTTCATTCAGTGTTGTTATATAATCAAACAGAACTGCATAGAAGTTTGCAGTGAATTGTGACCAAGAATTCTAAGCTCCATGCAAGTTATCTGATTCTTTGCTAAGAAAAAACATAACTACATTTAGAAGAAACCATTCCAAGAATGCATTTTCTGTACAAAAGCAACAATGTCTATAAATTACTACAGGTTTGAATTGCATTGTACTGGTGTATATTCATATATATTATTGCCCTGAAGTGTTCTTATAGTTTACAAGTGCTTGGACTGGCAATATTCTCATTGTTTCATTTTGAATTTTTAATTGCAAATGCATATTATGTTTGTCATATACAGGAACATGCAACCATAATTTAAACTAAGGTTAGTTGTCAGCAAGCTACTTGATAGTCTAAATGTGATCTCAAAATTCTAGCTTGTCTACATTTGGAAAAAAGTACATTTCCCAGATAAAATGTCCTTTGAAAATATCATTTGTTTACAGCAGACTGGGATCAGACAGAGAATCACCAGATCAGAGGATTACATGGAGTTGCTAAGCTGATCTTATAACAGAGCTGTAAGATAGTGAGGCTTATATTCTGATATTTTTTTCCACTTCGCAGCAGTGACCTGGCTGGCCTTTGGCAACGAAATTCAATGCACATGGCTCCGCAGTCAAATCATCAAATTTCCCTGTGTGTATATTAGAGTTTTGTAATGTGTTTCCATGAAACAATGCAGGGATAATTGTCTTTGGTAGCAATTAGCTAACAGGTTTGTTCAGTACTATTGGCAGAGACATCCATCATCCCCTCCCTGACCACACTTTTTGTCTAGCGTGGACTATGGAGATCAATAGAATACTATATAGGGGAAATCACCCTTGCCTTAATGAGCTGCAAGTCTCAGTCAGTCTTGGTTGGTATTTTTAATTTTTACCTTTAAAACTAGATGTCAGGGTTGGGGCGAACCTTCCCATGAGGACAGGTGAGTATTGTATATGTACTATTACTTTAACTAGATCAATGTATGGTTTTAAATTGTTCTATAAAAGGATATGGTATTGGTGTTGAGAGACACATAGAGGCAGTATATTGCTCAAGAAACATACACAGTATAAATAATATGCAGTTTGGAAAGTGAATATTGAGCTTTAATGTTATTAAGTTTAGTACAGATTTATTAAAAGTAACTTCCCATAACTGGAGAGAAATAGGCAAAGGTGGTTTTATATTAATTCATTGTTAGGCTTGATCCTGTGCCCATGAAGCTTGAAGTTATACTGAAATTGACTGGGCTTACTGAATAGATTTGTATGGAATTAAGCTTCCTATGTTATATTTTAAATCTTGATAAATCTCATTAAACACTTGGTTTATGGTTACAAAAATATTTTGGATGAGAATTTTAAAATATAATTAATTTAGGCCAAGAGCAAAACCCTCTTATTATTGATTTGCCGTAAATGAATAGCAAATAGAGTGGATGAAGATCTTCTTGTCTAATGCAGACTTAAGAATATATGAATTACTCAGGGGGTTTTTCACACAGTGCTGGTTCCTAGACCAAAGTTGTCTGACTTTTCTGCTGGTGGATTCAGGATTGGTGGAATACAGAGATTTGCTAGCTAAGCCATTAGTGACTAAGCAGCTGAGGTTTTACTTGGCTATATAGTTATTTACCACCCTGAGACACTGTGAAGGGTAGGACATAAAAGCTAGAAATAAATAGAGGACTAAATATAGTTAAAAGCTTAAGATGAACCCTATGTGATCAGATCTTATCTAGTCCATCATCATCTTTTTCATGGATACCTCTGGAAAGCCCACACGCAGGACATGAGAGCAACATATAGTGCTTCCCTCCCATTAACTGGTATTCACAGGCAGAATTTGAGTAACTTAAGTCCCACTGATTTCAGTGAATTTAATCTAAGTAGGATTATGTCAGATCCAACTTATTATACACAATGTTGTTTTCAAAACTATTCCTCACCTAAAACAGTCATTATCTCTGCTGGTCAGTAGTTCACTTTGGAAAAATTGAACTTTGATTATCCTGAAAGAAACTTTGAATGTTGCAGTCATGTTATATTCCACTTACATCTGAATGTTAAAAGAACTAGAATATTGCATAATGCCTTAGAATTAGCAGTGGACTCAGAGAGGAAACCATATTTCAATGTTTGAGCATGTTCTCTACAGGAAAAAGGTCCCAAACTTACTTACTAGGATCTTGTTTCAAACCACAGGCGTCTAGTCCAGAAAAGACACCTCATTTCAGATGTGAGGATATTTACTAAAATCAACCCAACTGAGTCAAAGATGATATACAGTTTATTGAATACATATAATACTGAAATATGTATGCAGATTATCAGTAAACAAGCAAAGGAAAAGCTTATAGCCATTACTGATATGACATACATTGCTCTTGAGGCAATAGTTACTTGAACACTTGCATTCCTGTTTCCTTTTGCTTCAGAGACTGTAGGTATTCACAAGTTAGCCCCCACTTCCTGCAAGACAAGAAAGGGAGGCAGAGAGGAAGTGTAGGTATCCCAGTTAACATCAGCAAAAGGATGTATAAACATCCTTATCTCAAGGATGATGCAAGAAGTTCACAGTGCCTAGTAGCTGGTGATCTCATACACCATATATCTAGATTTACTTTTTGGTTTGATATAGTAGCATCATCAACGACAGCACTTGTCATGAGCTAGGTTTTCTTCCTTCACACATTCAAAGCCACAGGCCTTTCTTGCAAAATGTTCTTTATTGACTGAAGCATTTTCCAGAAGCACAAATACCCAGAATGTATCTCTGAGTATGCAGAATGGTTTGTTGAAGCCAATCTGATATTTACTTCCAGGAACTCTCCTTATGAGTATGTTTGGGCCCCATCCTTTTGGGAGGGGCCTTTGAAAACAAGCACACCTCCTCTCTGCATGCTGATCCTCTAATTGGGTTCCCTGTTATGTCATGGGATTGAAAGCTGTACCCCACATTGCCTGTTTCTGAGAAGCTCTCCTGTTCAAAGTCCCCTCCTAATAACATTGCATCTTGAATAGTCTCAGAGCCTGCTTGAACACCTGGGGAGTCTGGCCTTGAAATAAGTGTTTCTGCTTCTCTCATCTCCACATTTGGAATTGACCCACGCTCCAAAGCCTTCCCCTGCTCTTTTTTGTCTACCTCCTCCAAATTTCAAGCAGCAGGCCTTGAGAATGCATGCAAAGAGCAACTGTCTTTCTCCATCCCAACAGTATTTGTCCTTTGCCTTTCCCCAGTAGCTCATAACAAACCTTCTAACCTGGGGGTCTCATC